CAGAGAAACTTGCTGTAATTTTTTTTCACAGTTATCATTACTGTGTATTTCCCTCCATCCTATTTCCTCCTTTTACCTTATTCTCTCTCCTTTCACCCTGTCCATCCTCAAAAGTATTTTGCCTCTGCCTACCGACTCCCTCAATCCTCCCTCTCTCCTATCAACCTTGCCCCTTTCTCTTATCCCTTTCCCCTCCTACTTCCTTGTAGGGTAAGATAGCTTTCTATACCCAACTAAGGGTATGTTATTCCCTCTTGGGATCAATTCCAATAAGAATAAGGTTCAAGCACTGCACCCCATCCCCACATCTTCCCCTTCACTATAAAAGCTCTTTTATATCTCTTTTATGTGAGATAATTTACCCCATTCTATCTCTCCCTTTCCCCTTCTCCCCATGCATTCCTCTTTCTCATCCTTTCATTTTATTTTTTTTTAGATATCATCCTATTGCATTCAAATCACACCCATACCCTCTGTCTATGTATATTCCTTCTAACTGCCCTAATAATAATAAAGTTCTTAGGAGTTATAAATATCATCTTCCCGTGTAGAAATCTAAACAGTTTAATCTTATTGAATCCTTTATGAGTTCTCTTTCCTGTTTACCTTTTTATGTTTCTCTTGAGTCTTGTGTTTCAATGTCAAATTTTCTGTTCAGCTCTGGTCTTTTCATCAGGAATTCTTGAAAGTCCTCAGTTTCATTAAATATCCATTCCTCCTCCCACTCCTCAGAGAATTATACTCAGTTTTGCTGGGTAGGTGATTTTTGGTTGTAATGCTCTCTCCCTTGCCCTCTGGTATATCATATTCCAAGTCCTCCAATCCTTTTAGATAGAAGCTGCTAAATCTTGTGTGATCCTGACTGTGGCTTCATGATATTTGAGTTGTTTCTTTCTGGCTGTTTGCAATATTTTCTCCTTGACCTGGGAGCTCTAGAATTTAGCTATAATATTCCTGGGAGTTTGCATTTCGGGATTTCTTTCAGGAGGTGATTAGTGTATTCTTTCAATTTCTATGTGACTTTCTGTTTCTAAAATATCAAGGCAGTTTTTCTTGATAATTTCTTGAAAGATGGTGTCTGATGTTTCATTCTAATGGTAAAAACTCTATAGTAAAATTTATTTTCAAGAATTGTCAAAGGACATATAAAAACAAAAACAAATATTTGTTGGACTTGTTTTAAAGAATCAGACTACTATTGCCTGGTCAATTTCATATGTTTCTATGATGCCAAGTCACTGCATGGGCCCATGATGGCTAAGTCTGGACAGTGAAGAATGGCTGTTCTGGGGCCGTCCCTAAAATAGAGATTCAAAGAACATCTTACCAATGAGCAAAGGAACCTTCATGAGCTCAGTAAGGAGGCTGAGGGGATGTGAGGTAATTCATAGAAACACAGATAATAGTATATTGCCTTGCATGTAATAAGCATCAATAAATGTTTGCTGATTATTATTGAAAAAAAAAGAAAGATAATGTCTAGGCTTTTTTTTTTGACCATGGCTTTTAGGTAGTTCAGTAATTCTTAAATTATCTTTCCTGGATCTATTTTCCAAGTCAGTAGTTTTGCTAATGAGATATTTCACATTTTCTTCTCTTTTTCCTTCTTTTGATTTTGTTTTTTTTTGTTTCTTGATGCCTTGTGGAGTCATTAGCTTCTACTTGCCCAATTTTAATTTTTAAGGAATTCTTTTCTTTTCTTTTTCTTTTTTCTTTTTTTTTTTTTGCAAGGCATTTGGGCTTAAGTGACTTGCCCAGGGTCACACAGCTAGTAAGTGTCAAATATCTGGTCTGAGACCGGATTTGAACTCAGGTCCTCCTGACTTCAGGGCCAGTGCTTTATCCACTGCGCCACCTAGCTGCCCCAGGAATTATTTTCTTCATGAGCTTTTGTACCACCTTTTCCATTTGGCCAATTCTACTTTTTTAAGGAGTGCTTCTCCTCAGTGGATTTTTGTTTCTCTTTTACCATTTGGCCTAGCCTGTTTTTTAAGGTGTTTTCTTCAGTATTTTGTGTGCTTCTTTTACCAAGCTGTTGATTCTTTTTTCATTATTTTCTTGAATTGCTCTCATTGCTTTACCAGTTTTTCCTCTACCTCTTTTATCTAATTTTAAAAACCCTTTTTGAGTGCTTCTAGGAACTATTTTAGGGCCTGAGACCAATTAACATTTTTTTTCTTTGAGGCTTTGAATGTAGCAGTTTTGACTTAGTTGACTTCTTCTGAGTTTGTGTTTTGATCTTCCCTGTCTCCATAGTAATTTTCCATTGTCAGATGATTTTTGTTATTGTTGTTTACTCATTTTCCCAGCCTATTTCTTTTTTTATTAATTTATTTTGATTTATCAATAATCACTTCCATATGCTTTTGAGTTTAAAATTTTTCTCCCCCTTCCTTCCCATCACCCTCCCCAAGACGGCGCACAATCTGATATAGCCAGCTTATTTCTTGACTTTTAACTTGATGTTAAAGTTGGGCTCTGCTCCTGGGCTGGAGGGGGCACTCTCATAAGCTTCAAATTTTTTGTGCAGCTATTTTCAGAGCTATTTCTGGGGGTCTGTAACTTTTAGTTCTTTTAAAGTGGTATGATCTAAGGAGAGACGTGTTCATTACTCTCCTGTCCTCTATGAGTGACCACAGGCAGTCTTTTCCACCTTGGAACTGCGACAATGATCCCTGCTCTCCTGTGGTCACAAGCTCTGGTGTGCTTGTACTCTTTCTCACCCTGGGACTGTGACCCAGATCCATATATGAGCCATGCAACACAGTCTTGCACGCAGCGGCAGAAAAGGGACCCCTATAATTTCCTTCTTATATGTTGTCTGACCCTCTTACCATTTTTGGGTTGCTGCTGATTCAGCGGCCCCCAAGACCTGCTGCTGTCTTGCCTGGGCATTGCCTGCATGGACAGCAATCTACTCTCATTCCAATGTGACAGACCTTTCCCACCAACCTTCTAAGTTATCTTGGGCTGGAAAATTGTTTCATCCCATTCTTTTGTGCGTTCTGCCACTCCAGAATTTGTTTTGAGACATTATTTTTAAAGTTACTTGGAAAGGAATTTCAGAGAGCTCAGGTGAGTTTCTGGCTTCTGTCTCCCATCTTGGTTCCTCCCTGTCCCCTTCAGGTGCTACTATTAACCTTATTTTTATTTATTTTTTAGTTGGCTCTCTATAGTTCTATCAGTAAACTTCATACAATATGAAAAAAACATTTCCTCTTTGCCTGTACTCATTTCCTTAATTTCTTTTCTCTTATCATATCTAGCATTTCTAACACTGTCAAATAGAGGTGGTGCTAACATCCTTGCTTTACCCCTGATCTTACTGGAAAGGCCTCCAGTTTATCCCCATTTCATATAATACTTGCTCATGGATTTAGATAAATATCACTGACCATACTGAATAAAGGTCTATCTATTCATGTGTTTTCTAGTGTGGTTTTTTTCATATAAAACAGAAATGGGTGTTGTATTTTGTCAAAAGTTTGTTTCTGCAACCATTGATGTAAACATATGATTTTTGTTGTTTTTGTTATTAATGTAGCCTATGATATTTATAGTTTTCCAAATATTTAACAGCCCTGCAATTCTATATAAATCCAACCTGATCAGAGTTTATCATCTTTTTGATGATTCTTTCGATGCTTTGCTAATGCTTTATTTACAAATTTTGCATCAATGCTCATTAGGGATATTAGTCTATAGTTTTCATTCTCTGTTTTGATTTTTTCTGCGTTAGACATGTAAACCATATTTGTATCATGAAGAATTGAGTACAATCCTTTCTTTTCCTATCTTTGCAAGTGGTTTGGATAGTGCTGGAATTAATCATTCTTTAAACGTTTGATAGAATTTGTATATCCATATGGTCTCCTTTTTTTGTTTGTTCATCTGTAAAATGTGGTTAATCATAGCCCTCCATCTTGTAGGGTTAATGTGAAACTCAAACAGATTGTGTGGGTAAGTGCTCTGCAAAGTTGGAGGCATTATGCACATACCAGTTGTGATGATAAAGTTGTTTCCCTGATCCTAACCCTTCAGTGGCTGCCTATCACCCCAGGATAAAATACAAGCTCCTCCCACACAGGGTGATTTGACCCACCCTTCTAGGCTGTCTGCTTGGCATTCTAACCAAACTGGCTGAAAACCTGGTGCTTCACAGCCTGCCCCAGCTGCCTCTGTGCCTGGACAGCCATCCCTCTGCCCCTTTGCCCCACTGCCCCTCAGAAAGTTGGCTTCCCTCACGGCTCATCTCCTTCCACCGAGCTTGCCCTGATCCCGCTCCCTCCTCCAACCACCTTCCATGTAGAATGGAAGCTCTTGGAGGGCAGGGGCAGCTGTGCCTCTGTCTCTTGTGTCCCCAGCACCTTGGGCAGTGCCTGGCACAAAGTATGCACTTATGACTAAATCTTTACCATTGCACTCGATTGCATGAGCCTGGTTGTAGTGGAGCTTAAAGAGGAGGCCAAATGACAGTCAGGAGCAGTCCTCTGTGTGTATGTGTGTGCACGCGCACGTGTTTGTATATGTACACACACGGTGTAGATCTATGTGCACATGTGTGTATACACTTGTGTTGCGTGTGTGCCTTATTGTGTGGGCAGTGCGCATCTGTGTGTACATGTGTGTTGTGTGGGCATGTGGTGCATATGCATGTACATGCATGTTTGTGTGTGTATACTGTGCATCATGTACACATGCACTATGTGTACTTGTGCATATGTGTGTGAGTGTGTGTGTGTGTGTTGGTGTGGGGGTATGTGTGTATGTGGGGGGAGCAGTGCCCGGGGGGGTTGGAGTCTCATTTTCGGGCTCACAGGTTCAGCCCTGGCCTGGCTGCTGGTTATGGTACAAGACAAGAAAGCCTCCTCCACGGCCCCTGCTGGCCTGAGCTGCCCAGGGCCGCCTGTGCCTCCTGCGGCAGCCGAGCAATGCCAGGGGCAGCCCCTTCCCTCTGGTCGGCCTCCAGCTCTGGACCAACGTTGCTCCCTCATTCCCAGGAGGATCGCCCCTGACCCCATCCCCCGTGCCGCGGAGCAGATGCTTTTGCGTCAGGCGCCACGATGTGGACCAGCTGCCCTACTCTGCGCCTGCTCCTTTGGGTGGCTGTGGTGACTCTCCAAGTGCACAGTCAGCGGAAGAGGGGGCCCAAGGGAAACCCGTCACCATCATCCAGGAGAGGAGACCTGCAGGGTGAGAGAGGGGATTTTCTTTTGACTTTCTCTAGCTAGCTAGAAGGACGCCATGAAGTCCGCAGAAGCCTCGAGGTAAGCAGTGACTTGCCTTGGCTCTCATCCTCTCCTTGAGCTGCCAGTCCCCGCTGCCCCGCAGGCCTCCTCGTGCTCACCCTGTCTCACTGACTTCCAAAAGAAAAGCGTGTGGTCTGAGAAGTGGGCAGACTGGGGTTTGCCTGCTGGGCGTCCTGGGAGAGGGCCACCTTTTCGTGGGCTGAGGCTCGGCAGACCGCAGTTCGGTGTGTCCCGCCTTCTTTGGGCATGGGCAAGGCAGGGAGGGGATGAGCCTCCATGCCTGGACGGGGTTTAACAGAGCTGTCTAGGCCTCTCCACACGGCATCCCCATCTCAGACAGCCCAGCCGCCTCACTCCCAGAGGCAGCTCTCTGGCCTCACCCGCTCCCCTCCTTCTGTTTCAGGCTCCACCTGCCTCATTGATGTGCTCTTCATTGTGGACAGCTCAGAGAGCTCCAAGATCATCCTCTTTGACCAACAGAAAGAGTTTGTCACTAGTCTCAGTGACAAGATTTCCCGTTCGCCTCTGGGCTCGTCGCGGGCATACGACGTCAGGCTGGCGGCTCTGCAGTTCAGCAGCTCTGTCCAAGTGGACCAGCCCTTTGCATCCTGGAGAGGCCTGCAGAGCTTCCAGCAGAAGGTCGGGTCAATGAACTTCATTGGGCAAGGCACCTTCTCCTACTACGCCATCTCCAATGCCACGCGCCTGTTTCAGAAAGAGGGCCGCGATGGTGACGTGAAGGTGGCTGTGCTCATGACCGACGGCATCGACCACCCGAAGAATCCCGATGTCCACGGCGTTTCGGAGGCAGCCCGGAATCTGGGCATCTCATTTGTCCCCGTTGGCCTTTCCCGGGTGGCCAACAAAGCCAAACTTCGGCTGATCTCGGGCGATTCTTCTGGCAAACACATCCCGCTGCTGAGTGACCCTAACGTTATTGAGAACGTACAGCACCAACTGGTGAGTCCGTGATCCATTCGTGCACCCGGGGCGTCTTCTGTGTGCACGGGATGGAGCCCTGTGAGTCAGAGGTGGACGGGCCCCTCCTGCCCAAGCTCAGCGGGGAGCCTGGTCTCTCTGGCAGCAGAAGGAGGAAGAGGGTCTCTGCTTCTTTCAGAGGGGTGACAGCACATGAGACGGTGATCCAGGGTCTCCGCCATCCGTGTTACCAGGTTGCTTTCCTGGCTGAGCATCACCAGTGCTGTCAGATGGTGGAAGGGTCACTTCCTTCCATTCTGTGTTCTCTGGGACATCCCAGACCAAAGCTCCCTTCATGCCCTCCGGGGACGAGGGTGGGGACTGTTAATCCTGAGAACCTGTCACAGCCCCCACCTCCTCCTCAGTGCTTGTAAAGATCGTCATTCTCTACAGTACATGCTACCATCCCGTTGGCCTTTGTTCAAGCAGGAATAACACTGAGTCAACTTGTGTTCCGCTGTGGCTTTCAGGTCTTTCTCGGCTCTACCTGGATGTCTTTGCCTTGACCACATCTTTTGGCACTTTGGGGTTTCACCCCAAAGCATTCCTCTATAGCCTGCCCTTATTACATTCCAGGAGTTTTTAAACCCCCACTCTGCCACGGTCCATTCCTTTGCTTTGGTGCTAGGGACCTCACTAATTTAGTGTCCCCGGCAAACTGTAGCCACTAAAGGCTTGTCTGGCCTCAGTCAGAGTAGCCTCGCTGCCTCTGCTGTGCTAGACAGCAATGGACCCTTCATTCCAAAGTGTCGCTTAAGCTGGAAACCTGTAGAGATGAATCCTGCTAACCATGACCCGCTCGCCTCTGGACTCCCATTTCCTCAGCAGAAGAGGGGTGCTGTCATGATCCTTTTGCTTCGCCCTTATGCAGGGTGTGCTGGTAAATGCTGAACAACTCCAAAAAAATGTACGCGTGACACATTAGAAAAATCCATCATTTGCATTTTCTCCATCACTTCCTTAAGTCTAGGCAACGAACAAAACGCCAAGCCCAGATGTGCAGCATTGCTGATTTCTGAGGTGTGAACGTTCTCACTGACATGTTAACAACCCACTCTCCTGAGCTTGGGGAGCTGCCTCCAGCCCCGCCTCCACCCCAGGGAGGTCAGGCTGCCCTCTGGGGCCTCAGGCTCCCTCCCTCTGCCCCCATCTTACCCTCTCCTGGGTCAGAGGTAGGAAGGCCTCCGGGAAGAAGCCACCTTTGTGGTACATCTCACCCCACGGGACTCTAGGCTGAGTTCTGCTCACTCTATACACTTTGCCTGGTTCCATGGTTTCTGGTAAGGGTTGGACAGGAGAAGTAGATGAGTTTCTGTTCCCTTCCATCCCACCCCACTGCCCTTGACCACCTGTTAAAGACTCTGGGAGCCAGGAGTCCCTGTGCACAGCCACCCCGGACCCCAGCTGGCCCCTGGCTCTTGGCTTCCACATCGTCCATGGTCTTCTTTGAGTATAAGGCTTGTAAACCTCTGTTGAATTATCGACTCCCTTCTTGAAAACACAGAGCTTTGCCTAGAGCAGACATTTAATTGATAATATAATTTAATTTAATTCACTATTGCACACCTCTAATCCTAATTCAAGTGGAAAGGGCACGGAATCGAGAGTCAGAAGACCTGGGTTCAAATCTTGGCTTTGCCTCTTACACTTGCACGTCTTTGGCCAAGGCATTCTACCTCTCTGGGTCTCAGTTTCCCCTTCAGTAAAAATGAAGGGTTTGGACTAACCATCTTCAGAGATGCCTTCTAGCCCCGAATCAATGAACCATGAGCTGGGGCTCGTCCTCTCCCTTTCAGACTGTGTTGCCTGTCTCCCTCCCGAGCTCTCCCTCCCGCTTCCACCTGACCTAGAGCCCCTCCATAACGTCGTCACTGTGGGATGACTCCCCCCCACCTTCCTCCTCACTGCTCCCTTTGTCTGCTGGCCCACATTAGCCTCAGTCTCCTTTCTTAGACGCTGACTCTTTGCAAACCCACCCATTCCAGGAAGCGCCTCTCAGCCAGGGTTGGGTTCCTGCCCACACTGCTGGTTCTGAGTCATCTACACAGGACAGCCGAGCCCTGTAGCCATCCCCATACACACACACAGCCCCATGGACCCTGGAGCTGGGCAGACTTTGTGCTTTGTTGGAAATTCCCTGGTGCATTGTGTACCTCGCTGCCCATGCTGTTGTCATGGAGATGGTGAATTCAAACCTACAGGATTTTACAGGAGACCCCAGGATTTTCATATTTATTTGGCCACCATTTTATTATTTCAACTGCAAAATCCCAAACTTTGCCGACCAAGTAGTCAGACCCCGAGACCTAGAAGGGACCAGAGGCCACCCAGCCCCAAACTAGAATTGTCTCCAGAATGCCTTGGACAAGAGCCCAGGGGCCCCCGCCCTCTCCAGGTAGCCGTGTGGCTTCTGGACCCTTTCCTTTCCATCACAGGGTGTTTCTTCTAATGTCTTGGGCTGTTCCCTTGAACCACTCCTGGTTCTGTCCTCCGGACCAGATGGCCTTTCTACAGGACCGGTTTTCAAAGGCTTAGATTCTCTGGTCTCTCACCCCCATCTCTTCCCCCAGGGGCCTTCTCTGCCACAGGCTGAGACTCTCTGCCCTTCAAGCAGGGATTTTAGCTGAGCCATGGCAAACCTTCCCTGTCCCGTGTTGCCCCTGCGTACCCAAGTGGAAAGCTTTCCAAGCCTTCTTATAGGGGCGGTATACAACTTAGATCTCTGGATGGATGGATACAGGTGTTACTTTGCCACCTGACCTCTCTAGGTAGTCAATAGGTAGACAAAGTTTGCTCAGAAGGAGTGCCCCCTGGGGAAGAAGGCCTCCACCTGCCAGCCAAGGCTCATTTCTCAGCACAGGGCTTGCCTGTAGCAGACAGAGACACAGAGAAGCCTCAGATTGCTCAGGGCCTTGTGGGGTCTCTGTCTGACAAAGGGAGACAAGGAGCATAGTCTCTTCAGGTCTGAGGGGGCAGATCTCTGCCTGCCTCTGTGAACCAAAGTGGTCTGCATGTGGCTGACTGGCCCTGAACATGGATTTCACCTAGAATTTCCATTGCTTGTGTCTGGAGAATAAGCAGTGAATCCCTTGATGTCCCCTGGTCCCTGAGCAGTCAGGACAGAGCAGGCTGGGATGATGACCATGGAGCAAGTGACTGGAGCCTTGAAGCTTTTTCTTGGGGAGCTCTCCAAGCCCCTGGTGCCCCCATGGCCATTGCCCTCTCCCCTCTTCCTTTTGAGCAGCCTCTGGTAGGGATTGGGATGGGGGAGATGGGGGCAGTGTGAGACAGTGAAAAGACTGCTCTTGGAGTCACAGGACATGAATGAATGAATGAAAAATGATTAGGCACTTACTGTGTGCTAGGCACTGTGCACCAGCAACACAAATAGAAGGAAAAAGACAGTGCCTACCCTCATGGAGCTTACAATTTAACAGGAGAAGACAGCCCACATGGGGAAAAGGTGACCAGGGAGGGAGTTGATTTTGGGGGAGTCACAGAGATGGTGAGCTGATACATAGAACTAGACTGGTAGGGGTGCTATTGATTTGGCTGCCAAGCCCAGAGCAAGAACTGGAAAGTGGGGATCCTCTTCTATTCAGCGTATGGCTGAGGGTCTGTAACACTCATCCTCCATCTGCCTGGGCAGGGGCAGCGCCACTTGCCAGGTTAACATGTTTCCTTTTCTTTTTCTTTTCAGGAAACCCTTTTTGATAAGAAGGTGAGCATGATCTACCTGCCTTCCTGTGCCTTCCCTTAGCACGCTGGCACTGCCCCTAACACTCCCTATCAGACAGCCCCCAGAAAGTGCTTCCTCCAAGGGGGGAAGCTTTCTCTGACTCGGAAGAGTTTTCTTCTGCTCACCATTTTCACAGACAGATCTTGGCCTCCCCGATGGGGTAGAGAAGGAAAGTGGGCAAAGGGAGAGTGCAGAGAGAGGGGCCGGAATCCCCTGGCATCCAAGGAAGGCCCTGTGCTCTCAGACACTGTCTGGACTGAACCTAGGCCAAGCTTCTCCTAAGCCCCAAAGAGCACAGAGAGAGTGCGCCATGTTTTCACTCACAGAACCAACCAAGGAAGGCAGACCCAGACCCCATTTACTCTCTTGGCCACCTCTGCCAGAGTGTTGGTGAATAGTGGAACCACACACACACGTGTGCGCACATGCATATATACACATATGTGCCCACCCATGTTAGTGCATATACACATGCGCACATGTGCATACATGCACACATGCACACACATATACATATGTGAGAGTCTCAGGCCACCTCAGCTGCTCTGCAGACCCCCACCCATGAGTCCTACATGCTTCTCTCCTCATCAAGGTCTCTGACAGGCTGTGGGAGCACCTCAGCGCTGCCTAGCCAAAGCAGCCCAGGATGGAGGAGAGCACCTGGGACATTCCTGGCCCCAGGGGTCACCTGACTCCTCCAGCCTCTGTGCCCTGCCCATTATCCATCCTTCTGTGCTAACACAAGATGGGGATGGGATGGGGAGGAATTTGCAGGTTGACCTCCAGTGATGATGCACCAGACAGAAAATGTGTCCTTTGTCGCACATCACTTAGAGTGTGAAATACTATTAGTGGTGGTGCAATGGATGGAGTCCTGGCCCTGGACTCAAGAAGGCCTGGGTTCAAATCCTGCCTCAGATACTTACTGGCTGGGTGATGCTGGGCAAGTCACTTAATCATCAGCTGCCTCAGTTTCCTCAACAGTAAAATGAGAATAATAATCACATCTATCTCTCAAGCTTGTTGTGAGGCTCAAACGAGATATAATAATAATAATAATAACTATGGCTAGCATTTATATAGAACTTTAAAGTTTACAAAGCGCTTTACAAATACTGATATTGTTTGATCCTATAACAACCCTGATGCTATTTTCTGCATTTTATAGTTGAGGAAACTCAGACAGACAGAAATGAAATGACTTGGCCAGGTCACACAGCTAATAAGGATCTGAAGCTGGATTTGAGCTCAGGTTTCCTGACTCCAGGTCCAATGACCTTGTGACACATATAAATACCACATTTAGAAAGTGCTTTGCAAACTTCAAGGTTCTATACAAATGCTGGCCACTCCTGGCATTTCAATGTGGCCCTTCCATGTTTCAGTGCGTCCAGAAGGCTTGTGAATGTGAGAAGGGGGATCCCGGGGAGCCAGGACCTCCTGTGAGTATCTGTCTCCCTTGGACCCCGGGGCGGGCTGGGGGAGGCTGCTCAGGAATGATGGAACCCAAGGGTTGTCGCCCAGCTCGGGGTTTTCAGTGGCAGAGGAAGCTGTGAGGCTTCTCTTGGAAAAGGTCCCAAGCCTGCCCGAAGAGCTTGGAGCATTTTTACCGAACTAAACTCAGGGCAGACGTGGGGAAATGGGGTGCCACGTTTCTCAAGGTGCCACATTTCTACACCGGCTTCACTGTGGCGGAAGGGAATAATAAACCAAGCTAAATCGGCTGGCCATGACGCTTAGACAAACACCACCCCATCTCCTCACACTCCGTCCCGTCCTCCCCTTACCCGTCTTACCTGGAATTTTAAAACCAAGTAAACTTCTTTCCTCTTTAGTTAGCCTTAAGTCGAAAAGGAGGAATATCCTGGCCTTTCTGACCAGAGAGGCTGGTGGGGGGACGGGGTGGAGAGGGACGGGAAAGAACACCAGATTTGAAGTCAGAGGACCTGGGTTTGAATTCTGTCGGTGCCGCTGACCACAGTCATGGGTGACCTTTGGCAGGTTCTTCGTGTGAGCCCGAGTTCTCACCTCTGTGAAAGACAGGGCTGAACAAGATCACTCCTAAGGGTCCCTCCTGGCCCTGTGAACAGATGACCCAGGATTTGGGGGGGGGGGGTGCAACAGGAGCACTGGGGAGCTGGGGAGGGAGGGCAGACCCTGGTGAGGTTGCCTACCCCATTAGGTGTGGCTGAGGGGAGGAAGTCGAGACTGGGAGAACCCTGTGCTCTGGTCCCCTCCCCCCTCACCATGCCCGTCTACCTCCTTTTCCAGGGGGTCTCATAGGTGTGCTTTTGGCTGCAGGTCTAGAAGGAAGAGGCATTCCTTCCTAACCCCTGGAGAGCATCCTGCTGCTCGCTTGGGGGCCCCTGGCCTCTGGGGGGCCCCATCTCTCCAGGCAGGAAATTGGATAAACAGGCCCCAAACCCCTTCTGGCTCCGGGTGAGAACCAGTCTTTCACCCAGCCAGGCAAAGAGAGCACTGCTGTTCCTAACGACATTTCTTCCCCACACAGGGCAGCCACGGCTATCCAGGGAGCAAAGGTGAGCAAGGACCAAAAGGACAGCAGGTGAGTCTTTCCTTCAAATTCCATCCTCCCTTCCTCCACCGTCCTGCCTTCCAGTTGTATTTAAAACACAAAAGCCCAGGACAAAAAAAAAAAGGCAAAAAGCCCACATTCTCTTGGAGCTGCCAAAACTTGGCTGACTTTTGGGAGAGCCTTGGCCCTTGCTGCCCACACATGAGCCCAGCTTGGTCTCTCCTGAGTGCCCCTGGGGCTGCTGAGGTCGGTAACTGGAAACAAAGTTGCTTGATGAGGAAGGGTGGGGTTCCACAGATAGCCCCCCAGAGCTATGGGAAAGCAGCAGACTGGGAGAGACAGTCTTCACAACTGTCTCCTGCCCATCCTTAGCAGACCTTTCATGGAAGCCAGCAAGGTGGCATGTAGCTCGCCCATCCCCTGCCAACTAAGGCTGGATGCTCCAATTTCTCCTTGTTTCTACTGAGAGAGCCTAGTTTTTCCAAGAGTTTTGGTGTGGGTTCCTGCCTTATGCACATATTTGAAATGCTTAGGGTTTCTCTTTGTCCTTTTGGGAGGCTGGGCACATAAATGGGATATGCATTCATTCATTCATGCACATGCATGTGCGCATGCACACTTGTGTATGCGTGCACGTGGGTGTGCATGGGCCCAGGTCACGAATGCTGATACTAACTCAGTACCAAAGAGGAGATGCTGCTTGATTCCTTCTATCCCTGGGTCCTTGGAGGACCTCATGGAAACCATGCCCAGGTGTAACCATCTGCACGGGTCCTCAGGCCAGGAAGCCCCTGACACCACACAGGAATGACAGGGGGCTCGAGATCATCCAGGCCCGATGGCTCTGCCTGGGCTATGGCTGTCCAGCGTTACATGGATGGCTCTTCTCGCCAGGTCAAGGCTGCGCTTAGCACATGGCTCCTGCCCTTTGCAGGCAGCAGAGTGACTGATGGGGGCTGTGGGGGCCCCTGTGGGGTCTGAAGATTGTCTTGCTTGGAGGGCTGAGAAGGAGGCAGGCATTCTGAAGCATGGGCACCTCTGACCAGGTTGCTTTTTGTTTGACAGGGTGATGCCCAGAAAGGAGAGCCTGGAGAGAAAGGCCCCGGGGTAAGTCCCAGCATGCACAGGGCCACGTGCTGTCCTGGGGGGAGGGGCCAAAGGGCCACTCTGTCCAGTGACCTAGGGGTTCAAGGTCTGGAGTCGTGGGGCCTCGGAATGAGGCGGGGAGAAGGGGAGACGGAAAGTCCCTTTTTCTCCTCAGGCACTCTCACCAGACACCCGGTCCCTGACCCCCTCGGCAGCTCGTTGGTCCATTTTAACAGCCACAGGCTTGGAAGGACATTGGTGTTGGCTCTCACTTACAATCTCCCTTTTCCCTTTCTTCCTCAGGGAGATCCTGGGTACAAAGGGGACAAGGTAAGATGTTAATGTGATCAATAAACTTGGGATGCAGGAAGAAAAGTGACTATAAGCCTCCTAGGGAATGCTATGAGATCCTAGGAAGAGAGTTAGAAGGAACCCTAGAGGCCTTCATTTTACAGAGGAGGACACTGAGGCACACAGCAGGCAAGTGACTTGTCCAAGGTCACACAGACAGCAAATGGCAGATCTAGGATTTGAACGGGGTCCTCTGCATCCAAGCCCGCTGCCTTTGCACCGACCCTCCATAGCCATGGTCATTCCACCAAGATGGATGGCACCCTCAAAGAAGAGGAGCCCTTTTCTGACAAAAAAAGAAGTGAGGACAATTCTTTCCTTCACAAAATTAGCCTGTAACACAAAAGCTGTTCTTCAGGGACCCGGCACTTCCAGATCTGCTGGGCCAAGCGGAATGTGAGTTTTGGGCCAACCATTTATGGCCCCTCTGGGGCAGGCTCTTCTTGCGCTTCCCTTTTTGGAGACTGACTCATCTTGTTCCCCTCCCCCATGATCCGATGGCTTGCTTTGGGGCGCTGGGTTCTGAGGGACATTTTCCATCTGAATCGTGCATTCAGTGTCTCTCAACTCTACTTCCCGTAGGATGTGGGAGGAACACGGTGCAGATGGCCCCGTCTGGCCTGGGCAGAGCTGGCACATTCTAATGCCTGGGACAACTCCCTTCTTTTTCTTTTTAAAGTAGCATTTATTTTTAACATTTATTTTTAAAATTTTGAGCTCCAAATTCTTTCTCTTCCTCCAGCTCCTTCCCCACTCACTCATTGAGAAGGCAAGCAACATGATATCAATTACACTGTGAAGTATTTGCCATGTTGCAAAAACAAACAAAAAGGCAAGAAAACTAAAGAAAGTGAAAAAAAATGAAAAACAAATCTGGTTCACTCTTGACTCAGTTCATCAGTTTACTCTCGGGAGATGGGAGACTTTTCCATCGTGGGTCCTTTGGGATTGTCTTGGGTCGCTGTCTTGATCAGAGTGGCCGAGTCTTTCATAACTGGTCATTGTTACAATATGGCTGTTGCTGTATACAATGTTCTCCTGGTTCTGCTCTCTTCACTCTGTATCGGTTCATATACATCTTCCCAGGTTTTTCTGAGAGCATCCCCCTAGTCATTTCTTAAAGCACGATAATATTCCATTATAGTCACATACCCCACCTTGTTCAGCCATTCCCAAGTTGCTGGGCATCCCCTCGCTTTGCCACCACAGAGAGAGCCCCTGCAAGCATTTGTGTAGAAGTAGGTCCTTTCTTCTTTCCTATGGTGTCTCTGGACGGTCAGCCTGCCCCTCTTCCCCTCCTGTCTAGGGTCCACAAGTGGCCTCCTTCCCCACCATCAACAGAAGAGAGACGCTGGGGGCAACTCCCTTACCTGCTCTGGGCCTCTGATTCCTTGTCCACAAAATAGGAACAGCAACAAGACAGCATTTTACAGCATTGGCATGGTGCTCAGCACACAGCGGGCACTTAATGAACGGTTACTGACTGACTAATATCTCATTTGAGCCTACTATAACCCTAGGAAGAAGAAAACTGAGTCTTAGAGAGGTCAAGTGACTTGTCCAGGGTCACACAGGCTCTGAACCTATGACTTCCTTACTCCAGGTCTTCCCATGCTCCATCTACTCCACCTTATTATTGCCTTCTAATAGACAAAGAAGGAAAGACTCAAGGAGGGGACAGGGCCACATCCCAGGAAATGTCCAGGCAGGATTTGAACCCACGCCTTCCAGACTCCAAGTCCAGTATTGCCTCTCATAGTGGGCATGGGGATCAGGATGCAGTCCTGCCTGTGTCCTAGAGCTGTTCTGAGGCTGTTGTGAGAGGACTTTGGAAGAGGAATGTGCCCTACAGAGGAAGGCTGTCCTACTGCCTAAACAGCCCCTGCCCCCTGCTGTGGTTGTTTTGGGGTCAATCCCCTAAGGGGCTAATGCTTTCCCCACGATCATCCCTGAATAATTTCAGAGCTGCCCGGGGGAACTTGAAGGGTGTCCAGCACAGTGGCCACTTCCTACCCCTCTGAAAAGTGGCTGTCCAGCCTGGCTGGAAGACCCCCTGGGCTGGGAGACCATTACTTCCCTGGGTAGCGCTTTCCATCTGGGGACAGCTCCCACTGGGAAGACATCCCATCTTACGTCAAGCTCAAGGTCTCCCTCTACTCCTCCTCCCAAGGCTCCCAGCCCAGCAGAATGAAGCTGATCCCTCCACCCGCTGGCAGGAGGAAATATGTGAGGACAGACAGAAGAAGACCCCTCTCCCGCCTCCCTCCCAGTTTTCTGTTCTCCAGGCAAATGTCTCTGCTTCCTTTCGCTGCTCCTCACGAGGCAGGGTCTCCCTTCATCTCCCCATCCCGGGGTTCTTGCCTGGACCAGCACCATCTTCTCAGGGTCCTCCTTCTGTGATGCCTAGGACGAAAAAAGGATACCAGCTGTGGCCCCACCAGGGCAGAGGGAAGGGGCTGATCACATCTCTCGTTCTAGATGCTCTGACTTTTTATTCAACTTCAAATCACAGCAGCCTTGGGGGGGAGGGGGGCAGCTTCCGTGTTGGCCTGTTGATTCATCACTGAATTTTCAGTCCCCTAGCATCCCCAGGTTTATTATGACTTTGCCGTTCCCCATCTCGTACTTGTAAAGTTGATTTTTTGGAACCTACGTGTAATGCTTTTGGGAGGCAGTGTGGTGAGGAGGTTGGGGCGTGGAGCTTGGAGACAGGAAGAGCTGGGCCCCAGCGGAGCCTCTGACCAATGCTGGCTGGCCAGGTCATCTTCAAAGTGTCTCTGAGCTGTCTCTGAAATGGTGACATGCTGGATGACGCGCCTCGAACGTCCTTTTCAGCTTGAAATCTGTGTCCCCTGTTCACTGTCATTTCATTAGATGCGGCTGTACTAGAGGCTGTAGAGATCCTTTGTATCCTGACTGGCATGCATGGAAAGACCTCCGGTTCCCACCTCGGGCTTCCACTTTTATTCTCTGTTTGTCTTTGAGTCAGTCACGGACCTCTCTGGGCATCAGTGTTCTTGTTAGTAAAATGTAAAATGAGTGACTTCAGGCTAATATTCCACTCACAAATTCAAAGCCAGGTTATCTCGGCTTTCCCAAGGCCATTAATGAGAATGCAGAGGCTTGGACAGAGCCTTCTCCAATGCCTTTGGGCCTTTGGGGATGCTTATTAAATCAGCTTTGAATTCACTCACCCGTCCTCTTGGATTGGCCGGTCTCCTCTTCCCAAGTTGTGGATGACCTGCACCTAATAGCATGATCTTTTCTGTCCCTGGGGAACAGGTAAGGAAATTTGGGGATCCCAGTGCTGGGGAGGAAGGAAGAGCTCTCCACAGCCCTCCCCGTATGGTGCGGTACAGCTTAAGAATAACAGTGCCACTACTGAGTGATGACCAGTGTTACACTCCTATTTCTCCAGGGTGAACGAGGAGAATGTGGCACCCCCGGCATGAAAGGTGACAAAGTAAGTAATGGTTTGACACTACTGGGGACACTTGGGCATGACATTCCCATACGGGAAGCAATCTGTGAGGGGGTCCATTTTGCTGAGCTCGGCTGCACCCCTCGGGAGCGGGAGCGGGGCCACAGGGCAGAAAATCCTGCTCCAAGGCCAGCACAACTGAGGAGACAGAGTGATGCTGATCTAGTGGGCCCGGGCTGCTGGCTCTCCGGGGGAGAGGGGGGTGAGCTGGGCCTGGGGGTGGTCAAGCAGCCAGTTGCCTCACTCCATTGCGTGTGGTCACATTGGCAAACCTTGAATCCCTACATGAAGACTGTCATCACCATCATGACTGAGCTGAGTTCTAGTTTCAGCTGAGTCACACTGGAGCTGAGGCTTAGGTGATGGAGGCGTTGGCAGGAGGCTGGAGCTACAAAACTGTCACCAATGGGCACCAAGGCTTGGTTGGGGACTACGTAAAAGCAGTGATGCGGCAGGGAGAGCCTGGCCTTCCCTGACCTTGGGGTGAAGACAAAGAGTCGGGGAAGCACCATTAGTGAAGATGTTTACTGGACCAGAGAGTCAGCCAGAGACCTCTCCAGAAGGAATGTTTTGTAACATCTGCCGAGGAGGAACAAAACCCCCAGTGTGGGACAAAAAGGACAGTTCTGAACTAGTACCCAGCATACAGTGGGTGCTTAATAAGTGCTTCTCGGTGGATCACTTGATGGTGAAGAACTCTTAATAGCAGACTTGAGCTTGACTTCTGGACTGTGACTTCCACACCGAGCTCTCTGATGGGAGACTGGGGATAGAGGAAGAAGCCCAGCCTCTTGATGTGAGCCTCCAGGACCCCTCTGGGAGCAAGGTGCCATGAAGTGGGCAGTTGGGGGCTACAGAGGCTGGCAGAGCCAAATAGAAGCTACTTCAGGGCAGTTTGACCTTCTTGGAGAGAAAATTCTGTTTCCAGTTCACATCAGTCAGCAGAGCTTGAGCATCGAGTGTGCTTTGCATGCATGGGCTGGACCCTGGGGGAGCCAGCGATGGACGAGATGCAGCTACTGTCCTCCAGATGCTCACATTCCATGAAGAGTAAGGTGGGAGGGGCTGGTACAGATAGAGAACTCTGGAAATGCAGGGCAGGGGGTGATTGTGGCCAAGGAGAACTCACACCCATCACCTAGGAAATCTGAGCAAGTAGCACATAGGGTGTGGCTCTGAGAGATGCAGGCAGGGATGGAGCTGCTGGAGGGGAGGCAGGCCTTGGTACAGGGCATGACCAGGCTCCTCAGGTTATAGCCCTGCAGAGGAAATAGTCCAAGTCCTCTTGGCTCAGGGGAATGGAGGACCAAAGTGCCACACCACAGCACATCCAGCTCGGTACCATGACAGAAGAGTGTGCAAGCTAGGTGACAGCTAGGTGGTACAGTGGATAGATCACTGAGCCTGGAGTCAGAAAGACCTGAGTTCAAATCCAGCCTCAGACACTTCCTAGCTGCGTGATTCTGGGCAAGTCATTTAACCTCTGACTGCCTCAGTCTCCTCATCTGTAAAATGGGGATACCAATAGCACCTACCTCACAGGATTGTGGTGAGGACGAATGAGATAGTATTTATGAAGGGCTCAGCACAATGCCTGGCACATAGTGGGTGCTTAATAAATGCCTATTCTCTCCCCTCCTTTCCTCAAGCTGCTCTGCACACAGTGGGAGCTAAATGTCCAATCCAGGTGGAAAGGAAGAAAAAACTGCCTAGGTAGCTGTTACCACCATGGCCAATGAACTCAATTCAATTAAAAAAACAAGCCGCCTACAAACACCAGCAACAAGCAGTCTACCCCGCGGGAGCATCCGCTGCCCTCCCCAGAGAGGCCATGGCAGGAGGAGAGGGTGGCTCCTTGGTCATGGGACAGCGTGCCCTCTTCTTCTCATTGGGAGAAGCTCAGAGCGCTCGCTCAGTAAGTGCCCCAACGTCGGGGTCTTATGCGCCGCTGTCCTCTGAACTTGTGGTCTCTTCTTATTCTCTAGGGACCCCCAGGCCTCTATGGACCCAAGGGCCCCCGGGGACCTCAGGTAAGAAAGACTGAAATAAGATCCAGGTTGGGGCAAAGCTGAGCCCTGGGCCCTCCCTCCAGTTCTGCCCTGGGAGAAACAGTTGGGTGGTTATTCCCAGGGAGGAAGATGGCGGCAACCTGCCTTTGGTCAAATCATCCAAGTGGAGGATGGAAGCTGTCCAGTGCAGCCTCTCCTTTGTACAGCCTTTCCCTGTAGAAGGTGTATCCCATGTGGCGTTTCCTTCTCGTGGCTGTGTCTGGGCTCAGCATCCCCATGGGGGGGACGGTGCTTCCAGCTCTCAGGCTAGCATCCCAGGAGCCCCAAGCCCCCAGGAGAGAGCCTAGTGAAGATCCAGAAAGGCCTCAGCAGCAGCTCCCCTGTCTGCCAGCCCAGGGGCCTTCTCTGGGCCCCTGAGAGAGGGTCCCCAGCCTCACACAGCTAGAGTTTGCCTCTGAGTTATGGTCTGTCCTGTAGGACCTAACTCATTCTTGGTTGTCCTGTTGGGCAGGGTGTGAGAGGACCACCAGGTGAACCAGGACCCAAAGGCTTTCAAGGCAACAAGGTAACGTTAACCCTTCAAGATGCATGGACTGTGAGTTGGGGACCTTGAAATACTGAAAAAAGAACTCTAGAAATGTGTGAGTGCCCAGCGCCCTGCGCATGGGGTGGGAATGGTCCCATGCACCCTAGGCATCAGTCTTCAGGGCTGTGATGCACATGCTTGTTCATCTATGGCTTCATTTCCTGTGCCTTCCACCTCCTTCTGCCCCTGGTAACACAGCTGTCATGGGACCCCTTGCTTTGTGACCAGAGGGAATGTCTACTCCCTCTGAACTGTTTGGGTGTGCCTCAGAGGCTGATGGTGCCCTTGGTAATAACAGGGATTTAACGGGAGGGGGAGGGGAAAGGACCTGCTTGGGAATCCCCTCTGAGGTGGCCAGTGGGCAGATGGTGAAGGGGAAAGGAGAGAGATTAGGGCCAGGCAAATAGAGCCGAGACTCATCTGAATAGAGGGGATCAAGAGCCCCTAAGAAGCTTCTATCTCCTTGGAGAAGGGGAGAAGGCGAGAAGGGGAGAAGGGGTTACACCCCACACACCAAGACAAGGCGTGGAAGGAGAGAGGACCAGTAAGGTTTACCATCGGATGTGGCCTGACTGCTGAGAAGGGTTTTAAGAGGCAGATGGATGGGGACGGGGGGAAAGGTGCCGGTGAAGATGTACTCCTGGGCTTGCGGGCAGGACAGTGGCAAAGAGTGGCAAAGGGAAGATCTGGAAAACATCTGACCCGCTTGGCTGAGACCCATCGGCCCCGGGGAGAAATGGGGAGCCAGTGACCGGTCAAAGTTGAGCTTTTGGAAATGTCTATGACAACTGTGTGCAGGATGGAGAGGGGAGGGGAGAGACGAGGCAGAGAGATGAGTGAGGTTGCGGGTGCGAGGAGGGCCGGAAGGGGGACAAGGCCCAGTGAGGTGAGGGAGAGGGACCAAGGTAAAAGGTGGGGGATGGAACTGACAAGGCCCGCTTGCCCATTGGGGGTGGGGTGGGGGCAGAGATGCAAGATGTCACAGAGGCTGCAGACCCAGAAGGACGGAGGTCGGGGAGTGTGGGGGAGGGGTGGCTCTCGGGATGAAGTGAAGGTATCCACCTTTGGACCTCTGCAGTCATGGCGCTACCTAGACTGGGCAAGGGGATTATTTGCAAAAGAGAAACCTGGACAGGTCTGTGATTTCCTTGGAGGCCTGCGGCGTTCTGCCCTCCATCCCAGTATCCCTTGTTCACAGAGAATTCACAGCGTTCTTAGGAAAGACGCAGTGTCCTCCGGATTCGGCCTCCCCTCCTGGCTTGCACTAACAGAGCTGGCCTCTGGCCTCTGGCTTGGGGCCTTTTCTGGGAAGGTGCATTCCGCTGTGGGTCCAGCATTCGCCTGAACACCTAAAAAAATAAGGTCCTTCCTTGCTTTGCGTGAGGAGAACATGGCCAAGCAACGAGGGCTCCCCAGGGCTCTGGGCCTTCCTGACCCTGGGACCCCGAGGCCCAAAGCTGGCCTGTGCAAAGCCTGAGTCAGCCTCGGAGCCAGGGGAGCGAGAGACACCCCGAGTTCTTTCTTTGGAGTCATGAATGGCCCCTTTCAGGAGGCACAGCTGCTCTTCTCCTGCCTGCTCTGGGCTGCGGGTTTTCTCCATCCAGTGTTTGCATGAAAGGGGGCCAAAAAGGAATATGAGTCAAGTCTGGGAAAATGTGATCCTGGCCCATGTTTCTGGGTCTTTTCTAGCAGAGATATTTTCCACATGTGGAATGTTTCTTATTTGGCCCCAAATGATCTGGTTGCCTGAGAAACCAAACACGGATGTTCCTTAGAACGGACCAGCTTCCCTGATGAACGTGATTCTTCCATCCGAGGGGGCTCCGGAGGAATGTGTGGGCAGGGAAAGTCACCGGAGTTTGGAGAGTGGGTGTTTGGGTTGGCCGGTTACCCTTCTGACGCGGGGGCTCCTTCTGAGCCTGGAGCTCCCAGCCCCCCTGAGCCTGACCGTCCTGCGTGCCCCTGCCTCCATGGCCAGGGCTTCTAGGTTGTTTTCTTAGCTCTCCAGGAGCTGAGCTGAGTCCAAGGTCCCCCGACTGAGGGGCTGCGGGGCGGTGGGGAGGACTTGGATCTGGGCTAGGATCCCATGCTGCACGGGGTCCACCCAGGGCGCTGGTGCCTTCCTCCAGAAAGAACTGGCTCCGCATTTGTGTGATCACACCCTGAGGAGTGACTTCTCGCCCTGGGCCTATCCTGGATGCAGCTTTGGCGTGGGTGTTTATTTCCCAGCGCACCTGTGAAGGGGTAGTTCTTGGTGCCTTAGATGGAATTAGATCTCAGTGCCCCAGGATCCAGAGCAATCTTGGTGGAATGAGGAGCTT